TGCTCCACCTCATCTTATTTCTTAAGGAAAGCCCACTGAGATGGAAAATGATGAGTTCCACTGGTCAGATGAGAGGAGTAACTCACTAGGGCCACACAGTTAGAATGGGACAAAGCCAGGAGCTGTCCTATGGCCATACAGACACATGCAGCACCCATGTCTGTGCACTGACCCCCAGTTAGCCTAGAGAGCTAACACCTGGCAAGGCCTTCCTGACTTCCCCACATATACTGCTCCCAGGCCCTCACCCTGCTGCCCCAAGAATCACGAGGATCCTTGTTTGGCCTGAGAACAGCTAGCTGGGCATGGTGGTGCAGGCATGTATTCCCAGATACTCAGGAGGCAGGAGGATTGAGAGCTCGAGGCTAGCCTGGACTATAATGAGTTCTAGACTAGCCTGGGCAATTGAACAAGAACCTGGCTGTCTAGAAGTAAACATAAAAACGGGTTGTGGTTGCAGTGTGGCAGTAGCATATACCACACTCTGGGTTTGATCTCCAGTACTGAAAGAAAGTAAACATAAGAAAGAGCTCACACTCTGATGCCCACATAGGCCCCTTCCCTACCCTCCTGCAACTCCCCACTCCTAACAGCTGAAGGCTGGGGTGGCCCAGGATTTGGATGGGTGACTCAGGCTGAATCATGGCCCAGCTGCTCTTGACAGCCCCTCCCCCTTCTGCTCATAGAGCCTATTTGGAGGGCAGGGGTGGGCCTTGATGTTTGGGGAGGGAGAACAGGGAGCAGGTGGGGGGGGACAAAAGGGGACAGAGCACTTAAGAAAGAGACACAATGCAGGAGTCCCTGCTTCTTATTCCACCAGGAATGGGCCAGGAGCTCCTCGTCTAATCCCTGAACTCATTTTGGCTCCCTGCCCCCGATAACACTGCCATTAACTAGTCTAATTGATCACTCCCAGTTAGCATCTCTCACTCTGCAGTTGATAAAGACCTTCCCATCCGGCGGTGGAAACACACATCCTCACTTTGGAGCCAAGGAAATCAAAGTCCTGTGAGCTAGCCAATATCACACGTCCGTGGGATGAAAGAACCAGGGCAAAAGTTCAGGCCTCCTTGGTCCAGCCTGTCAAGGTGAGCAGGGAGCAGCTGAGCAGAGGAGCTGGTAGAAACATGGTGGGTGGGGTACTGGAAGGCATTAGGGGCATCAAAAGGGTACCGTGGCATGGCATAGTCGAGCCAGGGTTAGGGCAGTGAGAGGCATGGCTAAGTAGAGAATGGTAGATGGATGATTAAAACTTCTCTCCTTCCCTGTAATTAGTGGATCACGGAATTGTCTGTGCCTTCAAATCTTTCATTGTCATTGATCAATATTCAAAGCATGGTGTTTCCCTGGAAAATGCTTTGGTTTCGGAGAATTTTCTTCTGGAAACCTCCATTTTCTTATATGGAAACCATGGGCCCAGGCTCTGGTAGGTAGGCTGTAAGAGGCTTGAGAGAAATCACCACCCTGCCCTTTCGGAGCTGTGAAGGTCTCCACAAAGGCTGCTACTGCTTGTCACTTTGTATTACCATTTAACTAACATCCACGGGTGCTGGACAGAGGGTAGAGTGGGCTTTTGGAAGCCTCGGGGCAGTGCTGAACAGGAAGTGGGTAACATCTCTTCCTTCCCCCTGCCTGGGCTCTGTCTGGCCTTCCCCCACCCTCAGCCCAGGAGCCTGTTTCTAGGCAACCAGATGGATGCAGAGATGGTTTGGAGGGGAGAGAGCTATAAATAGGGAAGAGAGAAAACAAAAATAAAGTTCCAGAGAAATCCCTGAAGCCACATTACTGGGACTGGGGGGCAGGGAGACAGACAAACGACATGATAAGGACATGGGGACAGCCCCTAGCCCTTCATTAGGGAACAAGGCCGGTTTCCAGCTAGCTGCTCAGCGGGAGTCTCCAGGGAGCCGAGGTGGACGAGCATGGTGAGGGAGAAGAAATGGCTGCGGAGCTATAGGAAGTCTGGGAAGAGAGAGACTTCCAACAACGTGGAGTTGAGAGCAGACGCTTAAGAGGAAAAGGAGAGAAAGCCAAGGTCAGCCGGGGTGAGGCTGGATACTCCAGGCGATCTTGGGAGGCCAGGCAGGTCTCAGGCTTCCTGACAGCACACACAGGCTGCCCTCCCTGTAACATTCAGGCTCTCCAGATAGCCTCCCGGTGTCCTCTTCATTCAGGTGCCTTCCTCACCTCACCGCAGAGGAGCCTGACCTGGCCGATTTATTTTTAAATTTTATGACTTAATTTTTTTTTTACATTTATTCATTTTGGGGGTAGGAAAGCACATTCATGGAGGCTAGGGAACAATTTTCTGAAGTTAATTTTCTTCTTCTACCATGTGAGCTCCAGGGATCAAACTTGGGTCAGCAGTCTTGGCAGTCAGCGCCTTTACTCGCTGAGCTAGCTCACTGCTCCGTGGCCGCCTTTACTTGCTGTTCATCACCCATTCCCGTCAGACTCCCTGCCACACCCTTTTAGGTTTCTCTTAAGGCTTGGAATCATCTCTTTCTATTTCTTTTTTTTTTTTTTTTGAGAAGGGTTGGGTCTTGCTATGTAGCACAGGCTAGCCTCAAACTCATGATCCTTCTGGTTCAACCCCACACCTGGCATTGCTGATCATTTTGTGATTCCTGGCCTTTGAGTTGTCAGAACACCAGGGGTTCCTTGAAATCCTCGCATATAAGACAGGAGTATGGTGCACACAACATGTGTGCACAGCACCACGAGCACGCGCGAGCACAGATGCAAGCACAGCACATATGTGCACCCGTACCACTGGTGCAATCGTCACACACAGATCAACGTGCATGCAGTGTCACTATGGTGCTCAAGACACAACACACGTGTCTGTCCGCATTTGCCTGTTATACATATTTTTCCATTTGTCTCTCTTCAAAGCCAGGGAATACAGGTTTTGAAAATTCCAAAGGTCTTGTCATTTAGAGTCAGGAATAGGGCTCAATCTGGCTTTTGACATTTTTCAGCAACCAGCCCTGGGTGAGTCGCATTGCCTCTCTAACTCCTGTTCCCTCCTTTGTAGGCTGAGGTTGTAGCAATGAAATATTGAGAGTGATTTCAGGTGAAATTAGTGAAGGTAAGTACCACATGCTTGGTCTATACGGGGAGCTTGGGAAATGGCTCAGACCCATGAGCTGAACTTACACACATACACACACACACATGCTCACATGCATGCATGCATGCACACATACACACACAGTCCTCAGACATGGGCTGGCTTCTTCTGCTTCTGGATTTGCGCCTGGAATGTATTTGCAGAGAATGCTGGTCTCTGAGCAGAAGCGTTCTCAGTGGGGCCAGGTGTAGGATTTGGCACTTAGGAAGGAGGAAATAAATCTCTTCACAGGCCAGATGGTAAACCTGGTTTTGACACCCAAAAATGGGGATCAGGAGCTGAAGACAAAAGGTCGAGCCAATAAATAAATAAATAAATAAATAAATAAATAAAGGGTTTAGGTGCTGTTTTGAGGATTACAGATCTCTCTCTCTCTCTCTCTCTCTCTCTCTCTCACACACACACACACACACACACACACACACACACACACTGCCCACAGACTGGGCATAAGAAAATCAGGACAGGGCTGGAAAAAGTGTGCACAAACCAAAGGTATTCAAAACTTAGAAAAATAGAGTGTGCTGGTAATTTAACCCTATCTAGAAGCCAGAGCTCAGCCAGAGGGCCATGCACGTCATAGTGTCTAGAACAGTGGTTCTCAACCTGTGGGCCGCGACCTATTTTACAAACTGCTATCTCCAAAAGTATTTACCTTATGATTCATAACAGTAGCAAAAGTACAATTAAGAGGTAGCAACGAGGATAATTTTGTGGTTGGAGGTCACCACAACATGAGGAACTATATTAAAGGGTCACACAGCGTTAGGAAGGTTACGAACCATTGTTCTAGAAGATAGCGGGTTGTAAGTACTGTAACTGAGCCAGAAGGCGTCTCCGGCTCCTACCACTCTCACTCATCCAAGCCCACCAGTTTGTTTCCCGCGGTCATCTGTTAGCGGCTTCCTGCTTCCAGATATAAAGGCCCAGGTGACCACAACACCCCGGTCTCCCACAGGGTTAATGGCCTTCCCAGACTTGCCATCTCCTCTCCCTCCAACGACTCTAGGGAAAGGGGAAAGAGTCTGACTGAATAAGGCAAACTGCTTCCAGCTACGTAGCTGGACTTCAAGGCGAGGTTGAGGGGGCTTCTCTGCAGTAAATCTGGCAGGCGTCTGCCAAGCGTATGCAGACAGGACCAGGTTTCTACAGCAAATGGGAACACCGCACAGATGGGGCGGAGCCTTGAGCCACGCGCTCTGTGCCAATAAAGGAGGCGTTTTCCTACTTGCAGAGGCGGAGCCTCTACGCAATGCGGGTCTTTTTGAGGTTCCCTTCTTACTCTGAGTCGGCGGGGGCCCCCTAGTGCTGATCCTGGTTTGCTCCAGGTGTCTGGCGGGTTTCCCAGTTTCCTGCAGACCCTCTCCTACTCCAGCTGAAAGCGAAAACTTTCAGTGGTGCTTCTGGGAGGGGAGAGTACCGCCTGCCGGGAGCTGTGCCCTCTCCTGGGCCAACGTCTCCAACGGTTTTGTTTGTTTGCGTTGGGCAGGTGTGCGTGGATGTGTCTGTACAGGACTGGAGTGGGAGGGGTCTGCTAACGGCTAGCGACGTCTTTCTGCGACTCAGCTGCAACCGCAACAGAGAGCGCAGGTCTGCACGTGCGCTCTGTTTGCACTCTCGCCGGGTGCTGACACTCGGGCTAGCGCGCGTGCACGTGCGTGCATGCGTATTCACGATGCCAGTGCTGTTTTTTTTTTTTTTTCTTCTCTTGGCCCTGTACCCCTTTTCCTGCCAGGAGGTGGCGCCCGATACTAACTTCCCGCCTCCCAGTCAACTTCAGTCCCAGCACAGGTAGCGGTGGGGGCCATCACCCTCCGAGTCGTGGGCCTGCTTGGAATAGGAGATGGATAAACTGAGGTCCCAGGTAGTCAGCGATGTGCCTGTGTTGAGTGTGCCAGACCCCAAAGAGCGGAGGGGCAGTCCGGGGCCCGGAAGCCCAGCCCTGCCCATGCGGCGCTAGCTACAGACAGATTGGCTTTATTCATGGACACGCTGGGGGGCGGCTGGGCCGACCCACCCGGGACACGCTCACACGGTGGGTGGGGGGGCTCTCCATGCCACAATCACAACACACGACGCCCGCGCTTGGACCGAGCGGGCTGAGGGAGGGGGCATGGCACAAACTGGCTCCTGGTATGGGTTAAAAAAAAACATTTTAGGGGTCGAAGTGGGGCTGCCCGCGGGGGGCCCCCTCGGGGAAAACCTCTGCTGGGTTGGGGAAGGAGCCATAGCTTTCCCATCTTGGTTTAAAAATACATAGAACATGCTACATCCACGCAGACACTGGACCAGATGGAGGGTGAGTGGTAACACTGGTGGGGCAGAGCTCCCAGCTGGGCCTCTGCCCGACCCCAGTTCACGCCTCAGGGATGAACGCGGGCAGGTAAGACAGACTGAAGGGCAGGGCAGACACTAACACAGGCTCGAGGGCGGTGCCTCGGAGCCGAAGGAAGATCTCGTGTTTGGGGGAAAAGGTAGAAGGACAGCCCTGGTTCTGGGGATGAGGGTTGGAACAGGGGCAGGGAAGGAATTGTGCTGCTGGTGCCAGGGCCCTCCTGGACCCTTACGCCTCTGGCTCATATTCCTGATATTCCTCCTGCAGCGGGGAGTGGGGTGGAATAGAGAAAAGCATAAAGGAAGTGTTGGAGACTGAGTGGTCAAGTGCAGCCCGCCAGATCCCTCCCCAGCAAGGAGGAACAATGTTTGCCCCACCCCCAGGGTAGGAAGAAACCTGGAGTTGGGTCCCGCCGAGGTAGTCCAAGGCAGTTGTGCCTGGGCCCTAGCATTAGGCACCATCTGCCATCTGTCCTCTCCTCCCTACTTCCACCTCCTGGAATCTGAGTTATTGAAGCCCCCCCCCCCACCATTCCACTTACGTTGGGGACCTCCCACCCCGCTAGGGGTGATGTCATCTTCAGGCGCCCCTCCCCCAGTCCTGTGGCTCCCTCACCTGCGGTGTTCCCTCATAACTTTCCCCTTCAGGTTCCATCAGGGGTTCAATCAGTGGCTCTTCAGCGGCTTCTTGGGCCACCTCCTCTGGCTGTGAACAGAGGAGAGCAGGGCTGTGTGGGAAGCTGGACATTCCTTACAATCCCATACTAGCATGCCATGGGTTGCTTGGAAGAGTGAGGTAGACTAGGGTAGCTTGGCAGTGCAAGGGGTATTTGGGCGAGGTGTCCATTTGGAGGTCTTAAAAATGAGAAGAAGATGGAGGTGTGACTGATGAATTCCCACCCAATCATCAGGGGAAGCTAGGAGTGCGGAGGGAGGGTGGAGCACTCTGTCGCTCAGCCCAGCACCTCACAGCCTCTACCTCCATCCCTGAGACTGAGTAGATAGGAGACAGCTGATGGGTCTCCTGTTTAGGTGCAGTCAAACTGCTGGGCTGACTATAGGACCCAGGAGAGAACTCCGGAAGCTCCCCTCTCAGGCAGACTGGAGCTGCCGGCTCAGGTCTGGGGCTGGAGAGGGGCTCTGTGCCATTCCCTCTGCTGCCTTCCACCCATCCCTCCCTCCCCCAGGGCTGAGCTTGGCCTGATTTCTTCACTGTAGCTATTTTAAGATAAGCTGGAAGCAACAGCTCATGGTGTTGCTTGGATGTGTGAGCTAAGACTCTCCCCTCCCCCCCTGCATCTGCTGCCCAGATGGGCACAGACCAATGAGCATGGAGGAAGAGGTCTGCTAGACACATGGTCCGCCACCTGCAAATGAGCACATATATGTAAACACGCGATAACTTGGGGTGTGTGCATGGCTGTAGAAGACCGCGTGTGGACTGGCACATGCCTAGGACCCTGAGAAGTTGGCACTTCCAGTTGCCTTAGTCCCATGGGTGGCTTCAGCTCCTTGGAGTTCTGTCTACCTGCACCCCTTGAATAGAGGGCTTTACATCTCCTGTAAATGAGGGTGGCGGCTCAGACTTCTCTTTGTGGGGATGACCAGAGAGATGAGAAATATTAGTTTCTCCCAGCTAGGACCGGAACCCAGGAAAGACACAGTTCAAAGTCCCAGCTTGAGGCCTTCAGGGTATAGCTTCATGCTAGAACATGTGTCTAGTGTGCTAAAGGCCTTGGCTCAATCTGCAGCACCCTCATCCCAAATAAATCCCAGCTTGAGCCCTTTGTGTGGAAGCGAGTACGCCAGGACAGTAGAAAGGCTCAGTACCTAACCACAGTGGAACATGGACCCTGGGAATGGAGAATGATGGCAGGCTTAGAGGTCACACAGTGGATTAGGAAAAGCAGAATACAGAAGAGCTTGTCCTCTTCCTGATGACATACTCATGAGATTAAAAAAGCACCCCACAAGTCTGCAGTGATGGAAGTCAGGAAGCAGGTGCCCTGGGGGAGTAGGCAGGGCCTGGACTGAAGGGAGCTAAGGGAGTCCCTCCTGATGCAGGCACATTTCACCGCCTCATGTAGGCCTGGCTAGGGTAAGGGACCCTAAAGGCAGCATAGTGCAGGAATTCTGGAGGCTGGCGTTTTGTGTGATGAACTGATTGCCGGCTTCATTGGGGAGATACCTTTCCAAAATGCCTTTCTTTTTGGGGTGTGTGTTTGTGTAGGGGGGGGGAGTTAAAGCCACCTTTTTCAAAAAAAAAAAAAGATTTATTTATTTATTTATTTTTTGCTGAGCGGTGGTGGCGCACGCCTTTAATCCCAGCACTCGGGAGGCAGAGGCAGGCAGATCTCTGTGAGTTCAAGGCCAGCCTGATCTACAAGAGTTAGTTTCAGGACAGGCTCCAAAGCTACGGAGAAACCCTGTCTCGAAAAACATGTATGTATGAGTGCTTGTCTGCATATATGTCTTCTGTATGCCATGTGTGGGCCTGGGTCCTAAAGAGTCCAGAAGAGGACATTGGATCCTTTGGAACTGGAGTTACAGATGGTTGTGAGCCACTATGTGGATGCTGGGAACCTAACTCAGTTCCTCTGCAAGGCCATCTCTCCAGTCCTACAAGAAAGAGTCTTACATAGTCCTGCCAGGCCGCATGTGGAGCATTCACCATTTGCCGGCCAGGCTTTCTATCGTGGTGGCTCTCAAGGTGGAGTCTCTAGACCTGCAGCGTTACAGTCACCTGTGTGGTTTTGTCTCCTGACTTCTGCCTCAGGACCTTTGTGTTTCCTGCTCAAAACAGCTCGAAATACAGTCCCGGCACATCTCCGGGCTGTCCAATGGCACCTCCCCAGGGAAACTCTCCTAAACTCAGGTAGTCCTGTTACAGTGCTTTGCCCCATCACAGCGTTCTCGTCTCCACTGCGCATGCATACCCCGTCTGACGCCCATGCGCACTGGCCGGTTTTGCGAGGTGATCTCTCTCAGTAGCGTGAATGCAGGGCACCACCCACTGTGAAGCCACTAAGAACAGGTCTTCGCTGGCACGGACAGCCATTCATCGAAAGGAAATGACCGAACAGGCCGTGGCTTGCTCAGACGTGCCCAGGAATATCTGGAATCATGCCAGTAAGCGGGCTATGCACTCACAGCCCCTTCTGGGTCCCTTCACAGGGAGCATGGCATCTATGCATACTTCCCCATGGCTTCATTCTGAGCCCAGTGTAGCCCAGTCTTGTAGGAACGGAGGCAAGCAAGCCTGTGCCCCAGGCGGGTGGAGTAGAGGTGGATGATAGCAGGCATGTGTGCCCAGCATGCCCGACATGTGCTGGGGGATCACTTGCCTTCAGGTCTGTGGGGAACTCCTCCTTCTTCACCAGGCCAGTGGCTGCTGCAATGTTCCCAGCCCCAGAAAACACAGCGCCTCCCAGATGTGATGCCTGCTCCTTGGTTTTCTCAGCCACTGGAGCAGGGAGGTATTGGGGGAAGGGTTCAGTGCCAGCCCCCCGCCCCACATAGTGTCCCAGAGTCTTCCTTTCCCAGGGGCAACCCCACAAAGAAACCTCAGGAGCCCCCATACCCCTCCCCACCATAAAGTACAAGGACTGGTCTGGTACCTGAGGCCACACCTTGGACCACTCCCTCTTTGGTCTTGCTTCCTATAGGGAGAAAGAAGAGCATATTTAAGAAGTCTGAACATAGCGAACAGAGATTCCAACCCAATGTGGGGGTCATGCAGTGAGCAGAGAACCCAGATAGCAATGGGTCCCCTGAACTGCCTCTCTGAACCCCCACATCCCACGGTTCTCACCCCACGCTAATTACACTCAGTTCCTACACATATTTCCTCAGGCCTTCTGCTCCCCTGCCCCAACACCCACACCCCCCAGTGGACGCTGCCTGAGTGGCTCTTAACTTCTCCCGGTCTGCAGTCTGAGCAGCGGAAGGGGCTTGGATAGCTTTCTCTTTATAGTTGGAAACCAGAAGCTCAGTAAGGGCCCTGCAATTGGTTAGGAGCTGAGTGAGCAAGTATTCAAAGCCGACTTGAAACTCCTGTTCCCAGGTACTGCGTGAATGTGTAGCCCAAGATGGGAGGTGGTGCTGGGAGGAGCAGAGACAGGCGTTTGGAAGATGCCCTTGGTGCCCCATGTATGTCTTTCATGAGCAGGTCCTCCAGACAAGGGCCAGTTCTTCCTTTTGACTAAAGCGGAGATTGTTAGGTGCAGGTGAGTCTAACGGTGATGTTCAGACGGTAGAAGGAACTCATGACACTGACTGGGTCTTCGTCAGATGCTGACATGGTACTGGAAGAGGCAAGAAGTTCTGACCACGGGGTGTGTATCCTCCTGGACCTGGGCAACCTGCCACGTGAAGACTTAGCAGCCAGACAAAGGCTAGTAAACCTAGGCTAAGGCCAGTACAGAGAGGGTGAGACTAGGTTAGCCAGAGTCAAGGGTGAGGCCCGGCTGGGATGAAGTGTGCCCCAAACTAAGGTCAGCCAGAAGTTGGAGGTGGAAGGGACAGGAGTCATGCCATGCATTATTCATTCCCTCTTCGACAAATTGTTTGTGCATTTGATGTGCAAGGCCTGTCTGACTGTCTGACGGGCCCATGGCCCATTGTCTGACCTGGAGTAGTAGGGAAAGAATATTTAGACTCCAGGGACTTCAAGAGGTGGGGACACTGCCTGGGACTTGAGATACGGGGAGCACACTGATATTCTAAAAGGAGACTAGGGAGGAGGAACCAGGCAGGCAAAACACCACCCCAGGACCAGAAACATTGGATATGGTGAAAAACAAGGCTGGAAATGCAGGCTGAGGTAGGGCCACGAGGGGTACTGCATGCTAGGCTACAGGAGCCAGGGTCTTAACGCAGAGGTTTCTGGGTAAGGGAAGACTAGAAAGTAAGTGTCTGCCAAGGAAAAGCCTCCGTGACTTGGAGAGGCAGAGAGACAACAGTGGGGTGCTGGGTGTTTAAGAAGCGAAAGAGACGAGGGATGAGTAAAAGGGGGGCAGAACAGATGTGCGCTCAAGGCTGGGCTTACCTACCGCTGCTCTTGCCTCAGGTGGCAATGCCTCCTGGCCTCCCTGCAATTTACTTGCCTGTAGCTTGGAGGGACAACTATGAACTGGTCAGATCATGTCAATCTCTCACGTATAGCCTTTAATGGCAATTTCAAGGATGCTCCAGCCTGACACACAAGGTCTTCTTGTGAACTGGCTCTTGCCTACCGACCTGAGCTCGTCCTTTGCCATGACTCCTGCCCTCTGCTCTTCAGACCATTCTAGGTCCTCGTATCCCGCCTTTCTGCCTTCCCAGGCCCTTTGGTGTTCAGGCCTGTTCCACACACACCACCCTCACAGGTAGCTCCCCTTTGGCTTTCTTCCCCCAAATGATTCCCACACTTGATGCTTGATGCTAGATCCATCCCAGAAATGCTGTGCCTCGCCAAGAGGAATTTGCAGTTTTGTCCCCTTGCCTCGCCACAGCTCAGCATCCACACAAGGCTTGGCACAGAGTATGTTTTTAATGAGCACAATCCAAATTTGCTATGACCTTGGGCAAACTGTCCAGCTCTTTTATATCTTTTTCTACAAGAGCAAGCCCTGGCCCACCGTATGAGCTTCTAAACGAGTCCGCTAGCTTCCATTTCTAGCCTTATCTCTCCTTACGGAAAGAACCCTACAAAGTCCTTTCGCACTCTGGGTGAGAGACATTAACCTCCTGCCCTTTGTCCTGACACCAGCTGACCTCTGAGAGGAGTGTGAACTGGAGGGAGAGCTGTGGTAAATCCACAGGCAGTGTGTGTGTGTGTGTGTGGGGGGGGGGGGGGGGGCAGGTAGCTGGAGAGAGCCCGCCAATACCCAGGGAAGGTGGGGCTTCCTGGCTGGATTCACACCTCAGCTTCAGGCTTTTCCAGCAGTGTGACCTTGGGCAGTGTGGTTAGCAGAGGGCCCCAGTGTCCCCGATCTGTAGAAAAAAGGCCAGGAGCATCAGATGCTGTGGCCTTTCACGGCACTTGGCCTCAAGTAAAGGTTCCCCATCAGGTCACTATTAATAGTGATGTCAGGATAAGAAAAAGGAAACTTTGGTGAGCTCACTGCATTGTCCTGGGTCTTTCATTTGAACACCATCTTCACTAGCTCCCACCCTGTTCCCACCTCCCTCTGGTCAATTCCATGAGCTGGCTGTGTCTCCAGTGACCCCTACTGACCTCGCCCATCTGCTGACTCATATTCTCACGCTCAGACCCCTCAATCTCTCTGAGGACCCTTCCTGGTACCCCCAGAAGACACCCAGCCCGGCAACCCCTTGCCCACCGACGTAGAGGACACCCTCCTTGGTCTTCTCTGCTGCCTCGGTGACCCCCTGCTTGGTTTTCTCGGCTGCAGCCACAACGCCCTCCTTGGCCATGGACAGGCCCTTCATGAACACGTCCATCCTGGCGGCCTGGGGAGGGCGAATACACAAGTGCCAGGTCCTGGCTCCACACCTTCACTCCGGCCCTCCCGGGGGACCTGGTGCCCCCTCCCTCCATCCCTGAGAATTGGCGCGCTTCTGGACCCAGAGTCCCCTCCTACCCACTCCACTCCCCAGCTCTAGGCCTCAGGGCCATGCTGCGGTGAGTCCTAGCGTCCTTGAAACCCCGGGACGCGGGAGGGGCCACCACCTCGGTTATCCGGAGATCTGCAACCTGCAGGCCCGCAGAACCGGAAGCTGGACTCGGCGCGAACACCCGGACCCAACACACGCACACGACAGTCACACGGTCAGCATGCAAACACACACCATGGACATGCTCACGTGCACACACAAGACACGGGCGTTCAGAAGCGCATGGACACTCTGACACACGGGCACGGACGCATGTCCGCACATCCACCCAGACTGTAGCAACCGAGAGGACAGACACACGCATCCTGCAGTGCACCTGCCCGCGCCTGCCCAGCGCTTTCCACCTTCGTGCCCACGTTTCTCCCCAGTGCAGTTTCCATTTCCCTCCTCACCTCACGCTCGGTCCCTTTGGACCCCAGTTCGATCCGCTTCCCTGAGCCTCACCTGGGTTTCGGGGGCCGGGCTGGGGATGGAGCTGTGGTGGTGGCAGCGGCGAGCAGATGCCGAGGTTGGGCTACGCGGGGCAGGGTTGGGATTGGAGCCAGTGGGGTCCGGCCGTGGTCAGGAGCTTGGGTCACTGGCCCTGAACAGGAGCGCAGCAGTGGTCCGGCCTCGGGTGCGCTGCCACCAAAGGATGCTACTCGAGCGCTCCGGCTCAGCTCCGACTCCAGCTCTAGCGCTGCCGCAGCTCTGAGCTCAGCACCCCCCCTGGTGGCCGCGCCGCCCCTTCCGCCTGACTGACAGGGGGCGGGGAGGATGACATCTCCTCAGAGCAAGCAAGCCTCCCGGGGAGGGCCTCTGACGTGTAGTCGGGGACCCTGGTGCTTGAGACGCTAGTCTTTGGGGAGTATGGGAGGGGGCAATGCGGCGAGAGAGGAGTGGAAATGAAATGATGTGGTTGGCTTGGGAGTTGAGATAGATTCGAATCCTAGCTGGTTTTGTTAGTGACTGTGGGATCTTGAACCTCTTAGCTCTCCTTTTGAAATGCCAGTTCCCTCTTCTGTAGAACCAAGCAGGGAGTGAATGCCTGTCTGGAGGGTGGAGACTGGGGGTGGGGGGAAGCAACACAAGGACCTGACCTCAGGGACATGCCGCGTGTATGCGCTCATGCCCATGCAGATATGAGAGGTAGGAAACAAAATAAATGTATCCACACTTAAACCAAACAGGGTTATTTCAGCTGCGAGGGGTGCTGGGAAGATAGTAAGATGCTGGTGTGAGAGACAGGGCTTGAGGCAGAGTCAGCAGACAGCAAAGCCCTCTGCGAAGAACCTTCTTGGAGTAGAGAGATCCCGAAGAAGCACCAAAGCAGACCAAAAAAGGCGAGGGTTAGATCCACATAGCTGAACCTTCAAGTGCAAAGGTCAGAGGCACTACCACGCCAAGGGGCGGTCAGAAGGCAATGCCACCTACAGTAGGAGCTAAAGAGAAGAGGACATGGACCTTTGAGTATAGTCACAGGCAGGGATTCTGATGCACCACGGGACCTCAGTCAGCTTGATGACAGAATTACGCCCATGCAGGTGTGGAATGGCAGGTGAAAGGGACCCTGTCAGTTCAGGGAGTCGAGGGAGGAAGTAAAAAGGAGGTGGCACTTAACGTGGGCTTCACCGAATGGGTAAGATGTTCCCTCGGGAACAAGGTCGGAAGGGTGTTTTAGGCTGTGGCTATTACACAGGCAAAGGCAGTGGGGACAGAAGTGCGGTGTGTGTGAGAGATGAGTGATGAGCTAAGGTGTGCCAGCAGCAGACAGCAGGGCACGGGCAGGAAAACGCTCATGGCTGCGGCAGGACTGTTGAGTTGGCAGAGGCCACGGGGTTGGCAGCATTTGTCGGGACTATGAATGCACAGTCCTTTGGGATCAGCAGCTCCCCTTCCAGGAACTCACTCTGTGGATCCCTATTCACGTGTGCACACCGACACGTGTGTGCACAGGTGCAGGCATGGTCATTGTACACTACAACTGACAATGTCCTCTTAGAGGTCTGGGTACTTCCTTACAGGACACCCACCCCGTGGCACACTGTGATGTGGTTAGGAGCCAGGAGCCCGACCCCCATGTACCAACACACTAGTGAAATAAGACATGTTAGTGAGAAGCAGGCTGCAAAGCTTGTGGATACTGAACATGCTAATTCTGATACATAGCAAAATTATATTACACACTTACATATTTAATAAGTTATATGTAAGAACAGTTTTTTGTATATCAATATGATTTTTATTTTATTAGTATAGCATATATTAATATATAAATGTATATGTACATATTACATGTATTTATCACATGCTATATGTATTAAATATAGATTTAAATAAATGTAATGTGATGTTTTTGTTTGTTTGATTGATTGTTTTTTTGAGAGAGGATTTCTTTTTTTGAGACAGAAGTTCTGGCTGTCCTAGAACTCCCTCTGTAGACCAGGCTGGCCTCAAACTCATAGAGATCTGCCTGTCTCTGCCTCCCAAGTGCTGGGATTAAAGGCTTTGCTCCCCCCCCCCAGTGTAAAGCAATTTTTAGATTAAAAAGCAGTTAAACATTTTTTAAAAGATTTACTTATTTGTTTATTATGTATACAATGTTCTGCCTGCATGTATGACTACAGACCAGAAGAGGGCATCAGATCACAAACAGGTGGTTGTGAGCCACCATATGGGTGCTGGGAATTCAGGACCTTTGGAAGAACAACCAGTGCTCTTAACCACTGAGCCATCTCTCCAGCGCCAGCAGTTAAACATTTTTAAAAATATACTTAATGCGTCTTTACAAAAGATTTCTTTATATCTTATGTGTATGAGTGCTTTGTCTGCATGCTTGCCTGTGCACCACAGCATGCAGTGCCTGTGGAGGCCAGAAGAGGGCGTTGGATCCTTTGGTGCTGGAGTTACAGATGGTTGTTAGCTATGTGCATGCTGGGAATCAAACTTTGGTCCTCTGCAAGAACATCAAGTGCTCTTAACTGTTGAGCAGTCCCCTAGACCCCTAATCCACTTCCCTTGCTCACTTCTCACAGGCCTGCAGACAATCCTTTTTCACCCTCATCAAGATACAGGACCCTCCTTTAGATGATGGCTCAGTTACCCATCCAGACACACAGGGACACACAAGATTATATTTTGGTCCTGGTCAGGTTTTATCTGCCTTCTCCTGATGGCTTGTGCACCATCATACAGACCCTTGATTCTAGGACACACTGCCCTGTCCCTAAGGTCCTTATTTACAAACTGCGGCAAAGGCAAGTTGACAAAGGACAAGGAAAGAGAGGGTGTGGTTATCACAGAGCAGCGGTTCTCACCCTCCTAACGCTGCGATCCTCATGCTGTGGCAACCCCCAGCCATAGAATTATATAATTGCTACATTATCATTGTAATTTTGCCACTGTCATGAGTCTTAATGTAAATATCTGACATACAGCATATCTGATATGTGACCCCGAAGGGGTCATGACCCACACAGGTCGAGAAGTGCTGTCATGGAGAGACTGGAATACCAAGCGGCTCAAGCTTTCTAAACAAAAGCAAAACCAAAGAGCCTCATAGCACGATGCTGACTGGCCAAAGTGTAAATACAAATAAAGTAAAAGATTTAAAAAGAAAGAAAAATCTCAGAACAGTGATGGGATTCAAGAGCCCCAGCTTGTCAACCCCACTTAGCTGATCTCTAAAGGCAAGCTGACCTTGGCAAAGAGCCAGATTCCCAGCAGGCCCAGGGACTTGTTTTAAATGCCTCCTGTCCCCCCCCACACACACACACACAAGCCCTGCCTCCAGCCCTCCAAGAACTGTAGAAGGTTCCCTCAGGCCTGGAAGCCACCCTGTGCCAGGGAAGAGCCAGGGCTCTGATGGAGCCAAGACCACACCCATCCCTGGAGAGAGCAGCAACTCCCTTGGTCCATCAAATACAGATCAGTAGCATTGTCCCTGTCTGGGCCTTCTGCAGAGCTTCCTGATGTGAACCTGAAGGCTCTGGCAGCATCTACTTCCTGTCTTTGGGGAATGTTTGTCCTAGGAACCCATGGGAATGGAGCCACCACACTGTGAAAGCTGAGCAGCTGTACATGGAGACGCCACACAGAGCTGAGGTTCCTCTGACAGCTGCATTAACTACCCCATGTGAGTGACAGAGGCCCTCAGCCCAAGCTGTGAGCAAGCCTAGCCTATCTGGCTTTGGAGCATAGTTGAACTGACCCCACAGGTACTGCAGATCTGCAAACATAGTAAATGATTCTTACTATTGTGGGTCACTGGGACAGGCGATGTGACATGGCAATAGGTAAGTGGACGGTTGTTGTCCTTCTCTGTCTTTCAGTATTCTAGACATAGCACCTCTTCATCGTCTCTACAACCTCTGCCAAATGGCACACATTAACACCTCGGTGGGCATCCTCCCAATTATTTTCATGGTTACAGTCTGAGAACCTGGCTGTGGTGGTGAATTTCCCCACTCCACATACACCAAACAGGGTCTCTCAGTGTGGCCTTGGCTCTCCTGGAACTCACTCTGTAGACCAAACTGACTTCAAACTCAGAGGTCCTCCTTCCTCTGCCGAGTGCTGGGATTAAAGGTGTGTGCAGTCACACTCAGTTTTGGAGGTTAATTTTGATTGTCTGTTAAGCTCGATTAAAAAGCATCAAGGCCCAGGGCATTAGTGAACTGTATCTTTTGGAGTGATATTTGACTGTGAGGGAAAAACTGACTGACTATGGGTAGCACCATTCTGTGGGTTAGCCTAGGGTCACAGGCTGAACAAAAAGGGAAAATAAAGCCAGCTGAGTACCCATGTATAGATAGAAGTTTCTGTCACATCCAGTCCTGCAGCCATTAAGTCCCAAATAAACACACAGAGGCTTATATTAATTTAAACTGCTTGGCCTACTGCTCAGGCTTATTACTAACTAGCTCTTATCACTTAAATTTACCCATATTTCTTGTTTATGTTTAGCCATGTGGCTTGGTTCCTTTTTTCAGTGAGGCATTCTCATCTTGCTTGCTTTGTGTCTGACTGGTGACCGACTCTGCCTTTCCTCCTCCCAGAATTCTCCTAGTTTAGTTGCCCTACCTATACTTCCTGCCTGGCTACTAGCCAATCAGTGTTTTATTAAACCAAAGGAGTGACAAATCTTTACGGTGTACAAGACATTATCCCACAGCACCCATGTTCCCCTTCCTCTGCTTCCAGTCCATGAAAATGTGGGCCATGCCTCTCAGATGCAAAGGACTGGACCTTCTGAAGTGTGAGCCCAAATGAACCAATCAGATATTCAGGTTGAACTTATATCTAAGCAACCGGAAACTTGGAGGGCAGGATTCAGTTGTCTTTAAATAAAAATAAAGATTAAAGTGTGTATGTGCACATGTGTGTGTGTGTGCACACCATCCTGTGGAGATCAGAAGACAATTTAAGGGGGCATGCATGTGTGCACACCATCCTGTGGAGATCAGAAGACAATTTAAGGGGGCTGACTTTCTCCCACCGTGCAGGTTGCTGGGACTGTCAGTCCTCAGATTAGAGGCAAATGTCTTTACCTGCTGAGTCATAGTGTTAGCCCCTAACAGCCAGTTCTGGTCCATGCATACAAACCCCACACCACTCTAAGGCCCAGGTCAGATCCTAGACTTTCTCCTCCCAGCCCAGCTCTTGCTCCTTTCTGGCAGAAGCTTGGCCAGTGTGGACTGAGGTCTGTACTCAAGGGCACAGATGAGTCCTGTTCCCACCAGACCCTG